ATGGTTCCTGTTTCCTTTGCAGAATGGCAAGGTTCAGGGTTCGAACTCTGTTAGACCGAAGGCCAATACCAGTGGCAGTGCACCAATTGTTTCTGATGTGGTAATCACTTATTTGATGCATGTTGTGCATCTTTTTTTATAATGCTTTTTCTTACGTAGATCTCATCGTGTTTGATCTGCAGGCAAAAGTGAAAATCCAGGAGGTAAGGAACGCAAGGGATTACTCATTTTTATTATCTGATGATGCTATCCCGCCTCCTGCTCCTCAAAAACCTTCTTTTCCCAAAAAGATCTCTGCTCCTAGTCCTGGTATGTCTTTTTTTCTATTTATTAGTTTGACAATCATATCTATCTAATACACATAGTACTTTATGTAGACTGATACAGTTATTTTATCGCATTGAAGAATCACGCTCAGCACAACCTTTACCAAGGGATAGGAATCTCTCTAGCAGCAGCGTTGGGAGAAAACCTCCCAATGGTCTTGAAGTGAGGAGGCCTCCACTTCCAGGTGGCACACAATTGAAACCTAAAGCTGGTTTACATAAACCGGTCAGTGTCAGCAAACAGAATCTTCCAGCAAGACAACCTATTAAAAGCAATGTCAATGGTCGTGCTCAGCTGGTACAGAAAAACCTTCCTTCAAAGGCTTCAACGTCAGATGTTAAGAGACCATCGCCTAACTTGCCCAGATCAAATCCTTTGAAACAGCAACATACTGCCAATTCAAAGCAAGCTTTGATGCAGAAAAAGGCATCTCAAGAATCCAGCAAGTCTAAGATGATTCAGAAACCATCAACTGGGGCATCCTCAAGATTCCCCCCTGTGGCAATGCAGAAACATGCAGTGCCCTCCTCTAGACCTCATGTGGTGATGCAGAAGCGAGTGGTTCCGTCCTCTAAATCTCAGGTATTGTTGGGCTGTTGTATTAGCCAGTCTATTCATCATCTCCATTTGCTTTCCATTGCTAAGCTCTTCTAGTATTTGTACATAATATAACTATTTTGATACTGGCAGATGAATCAGCCTGTTATTAGAAATCCAGACCGTCTCCCAACAAAAAGACCCGTAAGAGCTGATGATGAATATGATGATGGGTATAGTAAAAACCTGGAGCGTCGCCCAGCAAAAAGACCCGTGAGATGTGATGATGAAGATGATGATGCTACCAACGCGATTATGCAGATTAGGAACTTATTTGGGTAATTAACAAATAACAATTAACATTTTGTTTTTAGCCTTGTGGGCAAATGATGTCTTTTAGGACTAAAGTTTGTAGTGTGTTTTTATATACATTTATAGTTCTGAAATGATTTCGGGTAACCTGCTTTTGCAGGTATAATCCCAACAAGTATGTTGATGATGATGATGATGATCGTAATATGTTGGCAACTTTTGAAGACATAGAGGAGGAGGAATGGCACAGGTGAGTTAAAATATTTAAAAGTTTTTTCTGTACTTACCATGGCTGCTAAATGTCTTATATGACCTTGTAATCAGTCCGAAATATCTTAAAAGTTTTTTCTGTATTTAAAGGTTTAACAGTTACTTTTCGAAATTTTTCATCTTCCACCAACACACCCCTGTCAATCTTCTAAAGTTCCACTTTTTTCCTTAAAATGTAATTTGAGATCTGTTTTACATCCAAGTTAGTCCCCTTTCACTTGTTTGGGCAAGTTTTTTTTTTTTTTTTAAAAATCTTGGGAAAATGTTGTTCACAACACATATGAACATGCATGGCGTCTGAAATTGTGGTTATATATGTGGCTCTTGTTTCAGTGCCAAGATTGCCAGGCAGGAGGACGAGGAAGAACGCATCAAGATAGAAGAAGAGGAAAGAAGGGAACGGCTGAGAAAGGCCAAAAAACGCAAGATCATGGAACGGTAGTGAAGAGACACAATCTTGCATGGGGCAGCTTCTTTACTCGAAAGAACTGTGCATTGTATCTCAGATGTGCGCAGTTGTGCAGAGCAGGGGTTAGAAATAGGGAGGAAATGCTGCTGTTGTACAATGCTTAATGAAACACATGAAGGCAGCAGATTCTCCACAGGCTGTTGTGTACTTCCTTTATTTAGTCAGGGGAAATTCAATTTATTTTATTTTGACGGCTTGCAAGTTGCAAGATCCATAATACCGTCCCTTTCCCTCAGGCTCGAAGGACTCTTGGCAACATTTGTCTTTTTTCTTTGTAACATGTTCCAAAACTTCTGTATAGTATTTGTGCCAGAAGAGAAATTAATTTCACTATCAATTATGGTCCTAATACAATTAGGGATAAATAAAAAATCTGTGCCAGAAGAGAAATTAATAAATGCCCTGGCAAGAACTGATTTTCGAATTGAGGAAGAATTAAAGTGAAAAAGGTTATCTTTCATCGATTGATTGTACTTGAGTGCTAAAAAGAGCATGTACAATAAATTAATAGTTCTGTACTTCTGTTTGGTTTAACCTGCAGTTCATAACAAATTGATTACTCTTACTCCGTATAAGAAAAATGTTGCTCATTTGAAATAAGCGTGACATTTTACTTGTTGCAGACTTGCAGTTATGTTCATCATGTCAAACTTTATCAACTTAACACATTCCTTTAATACGTATGTTTCTTTATTCACTATTTTGTTGCGTTTCCTGATTATGCAATTCTCATTTGTTTTTTATTCGAGGACATGAGAAGTGTGTTTACACATCTAATATATAGGTGGATAATTTGTTTTACGGTTCAGTTTTTAATGATTAGATTTTATTTTATCCGATTTGGGAGATATAGTATCAAACTAAAATCATTTGTGTTTCGATTTGGTTTTAGATTCAGTTAGATAATCGTAAGTGAAAATGATTTGGTTCAAATTAGTTTGGTTTGATTCGATATTTCTTATATTTATTTCGGCTTGGTTTGGTTGCATTAAACCATTTTGCCCACCCCATACCAATAGTCATGTTTTAGGTTTATTTGATGGAGGTCCTTTCCCCCATAATTTGGATCCTTTATTGCATAATTTGTTGGAGCAACCATTTTGTAGGTCTAAAAAGGAGTAGAAGATCAATTTCAATAATTAATTTTGTTAAGAACGCATAATATTCCAGCATGAAGGCGATGTATGTCATGGCCCTTGTTCCTCAAAAGGTCCTGATAATGACAGAACTAAATTCTGGTAATCTTTTTGTAAAACTGTTTTACAATAAATAAAGGCTTGAACGTTATGTTTTCATTTTTACCTGCAAGGGATAAAAAGACAACAGTACAAAATCAAGTTATATTTACCGGGACCAAAATCATATTTTAGCCAAATGAAAAAACAATTTTTTTCGGCAAGGGACTTAACACATGGTTAAGGGCCGGGGAACACCTTACCTATTTATTATGGTGGGGTAAGGGCCGGGGAACACCTTACCTATTTATTATTAAAAAATTAAGAAATAAATGGTAGCGGGACTGTACCAAAACCTACTAGATTTAAACGACATAAGGGTAGCCAATTGCATCAAATTTTACAATGCCTAGAAATTTGTTGAAAGTGACATGGTTGCTATCAAAAGAATTAAAGTTAAGAGCCACAAAGTGTGTTGCTTTATTACAAACACTTTTGGAGTAGCTAAAAACAATGTCGTCATCTTCAAAGATCTCTTTAAACTTCAGGTAACTGGATATAGCTTTCCATCCCAAACGTTCTTCCCCTTTAAGAATTTGAATAACCTGTAATTTGTCACATTCGATAATTACTTTAGTGTAGTTTTTTTTCAAGAGGAAAACTTTAAGATTTATCAAAAGATCTCAAATATTCGAAGTGATATCCGAGTGGGAATGATAGTTGGCTTGATACATGATCATATCGCCTTGGTCGTTTCTGATGATATACCCCGAGGTGCACTCACCATCTTTATCATTCCCAATAGAGATATTGATTTTAATAAAACCAGTGGGAGGCTTATTCCAACGAGTTCCGTTTATTCTTGTTCAAAAGAGGATTAATACACATGATATCTTTAATCGGGGTTATGGGCTTTAGTGAGGACTTAACACAAATCAAGCTATATTTACGGGAACTAAAAATATATATTTGCCAAATGAAAAAATATAAAACACAATGTTTCTAATTAATTTATTTAACTGACTTCTCGATTGAATTTTAAGCTGAAATTTCATGTACTTTACACTATAAAAAACATGATCATCACCATTACCACAGTGCGGCAAAGGCTTCCACCTATGGTGGGGATGGGGGGGGGTCGGATGTACACACTCTTACCCCTGTACTAAAGCACACAAAAACCCTGTACTAAAGCACAAAAAAACTGTTCCAAAAAAGTGAAAACCGCGTTGCAAAAATTCTATGCACTGATTGCTGCTTCATAATAAAGAAGCGCATACAGTTAATGAGTCAAAAAATAGTGAGTTTTCGCTTCATTGTAAATGATGGAAACACTTTATGAAAAACATATGGGACATCTATTGATCCAAAAAGTGGAATCTTCCACCCCAGGAGCCCCCACACCCCGACAGGATGGTGAATGAGTAAGTCACGGTGACTCAGTCAGCAAAGTGGCAGTAGACTATACACCCGTGCGCGCCAAAGGTCCAACCTTATTTCAGGTTCTGTGACCTCCATCCGGTCGCTGTGGGGATTCGAACCTTAGTCCATTGATCCAAATTTCCCACCACTCGAACAACTGAGCTACCCGTACAGGTAACATATGGGACATCTTATACATTAAACAGTGTGCCATATTTACTTTCGACTTGGTGAATTTAATTGCAATGATGACTTAATCATTCAATCATTAATTCATGATTACTTACAACTAAGTTGAAAAGTTGACATAATGGATCACATTAAGTTGAATCAATTTTTTAAAGTGATTGTGGAATATATTTAATTATTTATACGTAGTATTAATAAATGAAGTTTTTCATTGATAATATAATATAGGAATAATATTAAATTGATTATTTTACTCGATTCAGACTGTTTATTCTGCATACAAAATAAACATTCTTATATACAAATATCACTTAATCCAGACAAACTTTTTAATTTAATCCGGACTTAATAAAAAAGGTAAACACCTCTAAGATAAAAGATAAACTAAAGAAGACACAATTATATTATACGGAACGTTTTACAACAACAACAATACTACGGAGTATTAAGTAATAATAATAGTACTTCGTATTTCTTTCATCATTATTTTAATGCATGAACTGATTATTTCATTAAGTGTAACATAGTTTCACAATTAAATAAATTCATTTAGCTAATTGAGGGCAATTTGGTACTTCGAACTCTGGCCCGGGTGGAAAAGTCCAAAATGCCTCTCAATTTCATCCCCGCTTTTCTTGTTTTCATCATACATGGCAAACAGGTACGTCTCGATTGAGTTTCTCTTCACATGATCAATTAGTTTTTTGTAATAAGTTCCAGCGTTTTCCGGCGACGCGTCAAAGCCGCCGGCCGACGGCCACCCGCTCTCGGAGACGACGATTCTCACATTCTGGCCACCGGCCTTTTGAACCGCGGCCCGCATGGAATCGAGCATCGCATCAAATAGGTTTCGGTACCCGGCCGAATTCGGGTTGGTCTCCGTGAACAGAGCGTACGCCAGAGTGTTATGGGCCGGGTCGCCCTTCCGGCCGAAGTAAGGGTAAATGTTGGCCAGCAGAGGCGACCCCTTCTCGGCTAGGAATTTCTGACGTGCACTTTGTCGTGGTGTGCAATCAAAATAAATACAAAACAACAAATATACGTAGTATATTGAAGTAAGGTTCGTATCCGCGGGGAAAGGAATACTTCTCTTTTTATAAACTAATAAATAAAGGGGGGTTTTGATTGGATGATTTAATTAAAATTGAACACGAAGATGAACGAGTTATGTGGTTTAATTAATGAGAAGAAGACTTGGCTTTGCTTTTATCCACTTAATGAAATGTTCGTCGATCCCGGTTATATCTTTAACTATCTTCCTCTCGAATACTCAATCGAGGAGTATATCCAATTCATCGAGGGTAGTTATTAATAACGAGACGCGTTCATTAATAAAACTTACTACCGAGTTAATATAGAACACGCGCCGTATATTTACTCGACAGTAGCAATAAAATCAAGATGAAAACGATTAAGATTGATAACCTCAACACAAGCGGTTTATTGGTTTAATCAATATAATTAATTCCCCTTGGCTTATTAACCATGAGACGCATGCATTAACAACCCAAGTTTACTACCGTGAAAGGACCGAGTTAATAACAAGCGTATTAATCGACCGATTCTAGTATTAATTAATATATGAAACAAAACTAGTTGATCCTTTAAGTATTGCTCAAAATATTAATATGTAATAGGAATAGGAATTAATTAATATTCAAGGAAGAAGATTAAAGAAAATAACTCACAACTTACAATTCATTAAGCTTCAAAGTAGCAAAACCAAGATGGAAGGGTTTAGCTCCTCATTTGGAGACTAAACATGATAGAAAATATAAAGAAAACACTAATCTAAACTGAGCTAAAGAGTATATGTGAATTGGTACCCTTCTTGTGGAGGAAATGGGGTGTATTTATAGGCTTTTTAGGCTTGCAGGGTCGTGTACCCGATCGGGTTTTCAGCCCACTCGATCGGGTACCATATGTGGCTTCGGCGAAGCTGAAAAATGGGGTCATACCCGATCGGGTCTGTCGGTCACCCGATCGGGTATGGACACCCGAACGTGTTAAAATCTTCCCGCATGATGCCTTGTTCCCGGATTTGATTTGATTCGAAATTTCAGAAGGGTACCCGACCGGGTATAGGTCATACCCGATCGGGTACAGACCATTTTCTTGCATTCTTGCACCTTCCTTGTACTGGTGATGTTCTCCAAAGTGTATTTGGACCTGTTTGAGCTCAGAATAAACCTAATCTAAACATATTACAAATATTTTACAAACTAAACTATTTACACCAAAAGTGTGTAATTTCCAAAGTAACAATCACTCGAAACTAATTAAAAGCATAAATTTAAATATGGAAATTACACGAATGTCAACTCCCCCACACTTAGTTTATTTACTCGTCCTCGAGTAAAACCAAATGTTTACATAATGTCCATCAAAAGACCATGAGTTCATAGATAAGAAGAAATAAGGAACTAAAACCACCAAGTATTGTAAATGAAGTTACAAAACAAATTTTTCCTTGGGTTTAATGGTCTTCTATGCTCCTCACTTCTTCTTCTTCCTTTCTTCTTCCTCCCCAAGAGATAGTGCCCTGCAAAAATGCAAATGCTTCTCTCATATCTCTCATTTTGCCTAGGAGCCTTTTCAGGTTTTCATCCTAGCATCTCTTTTCTTTTCCTTTCTTACCACTCACTCATCATTTTTTTTTTTTTTTTTTTTTTTTTTTTTTTTTAAAGAATTTATTTGTAGAAACTAATGCTTAGTACAAGGTAAAAAAAAAAATAAAGGGATTGTGACATACCAAGAGATGATGTTTCCTCCCCCACACTTGAAACGTGGCACTATCCTTAGTGCCCACCTTCGCCGCCATAATAGCCGCCTCCAAAGCCGCTCCCATGCATATCATCGCCGCCTCCCTCTCCCATCGTAGTATCCCCGCCATCATAGCCACCACCGCCGGAAGTAGAGCCGCCAAAATGACCCCAATCCGAGGGGTTATACCAAGAGGGTGCCGGTGGTGGTGAGGACATAGATGCAAATCCGCCAATGTTGGACATGTAAGAGTATGTAGGCCCATACATCCTCCGGTAGTCCTCTTCATACCGTTGTATGTCGGCCGCCCTTTGCTCCTCCATCCTTTGGAATGCCGATTGTTGTTCGGTTCGGAAGGCATCAAATTGGCGGTCCCTTGCTTGTTGCTCCGCCCGGTATTGGCCTAACTCTTCTTGTAGTTGGGTAAATTGCCTACCCATCTTTGTGTAATCGAGGCTCATGGTTTGGAAACCGGCAAGGAGGGATTGTTGACCCGCCAAGAGTTGTTGGAAAAAATCTTGGGGTGGCGGGTTTTGAGGAGGGTCGGGAAGAGCATTGTGGACATCTTCATATCCTTGATTGTCGGCTTGATCGGGATGATGCTCGGGTTGGTCTTCGGGTGGGTTGGCTTGATCTTGTAGGTGGGGTGGAATGTTGTTTGGGAGGAGGTAATGGGGGATCTCGAATGTGGCCATCCTATACCTAAGCTTAGGCAATTCATCACAAGGGAGGGGGAAATATTTGGTGGGTTCGGGGTATTTCATGTGCCACCGATAGCGTTGGTTTCCATTGTGGTCCTTGTTGCCCAAAGAGATCAAACCCGCATTGGACAACCAACCAATGTGCATCAAAGAATCGGGGTGGATTGGAGCATTTTCCGTATAGCCGAATTTGCTCACCAAATGCATTATGACCCCCCCAACCACAATGTTCCCGGTCTTCTTACAAGCTTCCTCCAAATGATCCCACATTAAGTTGCAAAGATTATATTCCGTGGGTCTATGAAAAAGGGCTAGAGTGAGTACGGCCACGTCCCCCATCCGAGTATGGTGATTGTTGGGGCGACCAAGCAAAGAATTGCACAAGAACTTTAGGAACATCCGGAGAAGAGGATGTTGAACGTGACTAATGGATAATTTAGACGCGTTCACCTTCCTTTCTCCGGTCATTTTGGCCCATAAAGTGTGCGCGTCAAGTGTGCTCTCCGGTATCCCCCTTTCATGGGGTGCGGGGATGCCGAAGTGTTCCGCAAACTCACGTCTCGTTATTGAGTATTCGTTGTTTAACCAACGAAACGTGAGTTTGTCGTAGAGGAACTCCGCCGGGTCATCATGTAGAACAACTCTAGCCGAACTCATCACCTCATAAATCACTTTGTCAACACAATTATACTTCATATTAAAAATCAAATTCATCTCCAACCTATCAAATAATTCCCTCATTCCATCCAACAAGCCTAGTTGTGTAAGAGCATTATGACATAGGAATCTAGAAGGAACTACTTGCCTTTTGATGATGGCCAAAAATCGTTTGCGGTGATCTCCCGGCCCAAAGCGGATGGTCTCATACCCCGGAATTGGTCCTCTAGCATTAGAGCTCTCCGGTTGGCTTCTTTTTGGTGCCATTTTGTCCAAATTTCAAGCTTGAATTCGGATTTTGGGAATTTTGGGGTAGGGTTTCGGATTTTTGGATAGAGAGGGAGGTGTGGTGATTTTTGGGTATGAGGTTGGAGAGGGTGGTGAGAGGAGTGTTTTGGTGGTGGTATGAGAGGATTTGGTTGAGTGTTGGGTGAGTTATGGAAGCTTGGAGGTTCGGAAATGGGGGATTTGGGGAGAGTGGTTCGAATCTTGGTGTGTTGGGGAAGATGAAATGGGGGTTTCGGGCCTGATTTGGGATAAAAACGCCGTGTGCCCGATCGGGTGGCCCGATTACCCGATCGGGTATTTTAATTCGAAACTATCTTTTGATTTCCAGAGTAGAGCACCCGATCGGGTGGCCCGATTACCCGATCGGGTAAATCAATTCGAAAGTGCTTTTTGATTCTGCAGCTTAGTGTACCCGATCGGGTGAGTGCAATACCCGATCGGGTCTTCCCACATTTTTTTTAAAATTGCTCCAGGGGTTCGCACCCGATCGAGTTTGGGGGTACTCGATCGGGGAATTTAATTCGAAGAAAATTTTTCAAATTTCGTTATTGTACCCGATCGGGCCTTATGGGTACCCGATCGGGTACCCTCTTGAAAATTTTCCAATTCCTCGATCGGGTCTTCTGAAGGCTCTTGTTTTCAGTATGTACCCGATCGGGTATGGTTATGGTGCCCGATCGGGTATCCTTCTCTGGGAAGTGTTTTTGTCAAGTTTTAATCCTTTTTTAGCATGGATCCGATCGGTTAAGTGATGAAGACCGATCGGAGGTTTCCCCAGGCTTCCAAAACATGGTTTTCCTTCATTTTTTTCTGGAGAATTTTACCCCATTTTCTCAAAAGTGATATTAACAAGCAAGAATTTGAGAAGAAAAGAAGAAAATGCGTACCTTGACTTGGGTTGCCTCCCAAGAAGCGCCTTAGTTAACGTCGCGGCTCGACGCCGTAGTCATGTTCATTCTTCATAGATTGGATCGAAGAGATCCATGTATTCAATGCTCTCTTTTTGGAAGCCCTCAAGGAATGGCTTGAGTTGATGTCCGTTAACCTTGAAGATTTTATCGGTGTCAAGGCTTTTGATCTCAACTGCTCCATGTGAGTAGACTTTGACCACCTCAAATGGTCCTTCCCATCGTGATCTCAGTTTACCGGGGAAAAGACGGAGGCGTGATCGGAATAGAAGGACTTTATCTCCAACTTGGAAGTCCTTCCTGATTATCATTTTATCATGCCATACCTTCGTCTTTTCTTTGTAGATGGCGGCATTCTCGTAGGACTCAAGTCGAAGTTCCTCTAACTCTTGGAGTTGTAGCTTTCTTTTCATCCCCGCTTGCTCCATATCAAGATTGAATGTTTTTACCGCCCAATAGGACTTATGTTCGAGTTCGACCGGGAGGTGGCAAGCCTTCCCGAACACAAGCCTATAGGGAGACATTCCAATTGGTGTTTTGAAAGCGGTTCTATATGCCCACAAGGCATCATCCATACGAAGACTCCAATCTTTGCGGTTAGGATTCACCGTCTTTTGGAGTATAGACTTCAACTCCCTGTTTGAGACCTCGGCTTGTCCGTTTGTTTGTG